TATAACCCGGACCTTCACGGGTGTAGTATGACGAAGATTATATACTAATATGCAAAAACTGAGAAAAAAACAAACAATTCATTCGTATCATTTATTGATTCAAGTCAATCGGTTCCATACAAAGCCTTATATACGAATGGACAATAGTATTCACTCTGGAACATTATTTAGTCACTCATATACACATGCTGCAGCTGATCAAGGCCCTATTGTTTAAACAGCGAGTCCATGTTTTGAAACACATTTCGCACTGTTGAATGTTTCCTTTCCTACGCTGTTTTAAGGTTGAATGGTTGTCTATAGTCTATGCTTTATCTATTGCTTGAAACGATTTCCGTCCAGGAGGTCCCAGTTTCACAATTCCTCTCACGTAGAGGGAAATTCGGCGTTTCTTATCGTTCAAACGCCTCAGTTTACGAGGTGTTTTCAAAATATGAATCAAACTAGACGCGTGGCGTTGACTCGGCATTCTCTTCTGACTGTTAGACTGATATAGTAGTGATGGGTATTTATGCCTAATCGTTCTGCTCACGATCATCATCCTCCTCCTCGTCATCACCGTCGTTATCCTCTGCAACGCTATCAGATTCAGTCTCACTTTCTATTTCCGGCATATCCATCAAAGGCAGGATCTCTTTCATCTTGGGTTTTAGGAGGAGTTTGATTTTATTTTTGAGAACGGATTGTTCCGTGGAAGGATTCATGTCTCCCAGGTTGTATAGCATGTTTTGAAACAGAGGTGCCTCTTTAAAGTACGTGGTATATTCCATCGCATAGTTGAGAGTACTATGCACTAGATCCTCCCACCTCAGTTTCAATCTTCTCTCAATCTATTCTTGCGTTCGTCCCTGTCGCTTGTACTGTTTTTTTCTGCAGTTTCATCTTGTCATGAAACGTATCGTACACCTGCTTCCAGATGATGCGTTGTAAGCCTACATTTTGCCACTCCTCGGCTTCCATATTAGTGAATGTTGACTTCCCACGTGGAGGTTTGACGGCAAGACCACTGCCTTTCTGGGAAGAGGCTAGGTCGTCAAAGTCACTGTCATCGTCATCACTCTCGAGTCTGGCACGCTTTCTCTTAGGTTGAAGGCTATTGGCTGGGCACCAGTGTTTGATATGTCGCTGTAGATCGTGCATGTTATCTATCAGCACCCCGCAATCTGCGCAAGCCGTGGCCATAGTCAATGATGTCTCACTACTCGTGTCTGAATCGGTTTCAATTGGAGTGAGCTGATGTTGGGGCAATCTCTCTTCTTGTGTCAGAGGACTATCCAGAGATTCTGTTGTAGTCAACTTCTCCCTACGCAGATCAGGTTCAGACTGTGCTGTTGTTCTCCTGTTTTCCTCATTTATGAGGTTAACAAGCAGTCGATCCTTATCTTTGGTGGTAGGTTTTAGATCGATGGTGAGTTGTCCATAGGGTGTTTCAGCAACCTTTTCATACATAGCCATAAAGTGATCCATATGTTCGGGGAAAATTCTACGAGCGAAGAGTTTGGTTTGCTGTTTATCTATGGGGGAATGAAACAGGGTGACATAATGCGCGTTCAAAGTAATGTCTCTCGACTCCTTACATCTCGGAAACAGATTTTGTATCAAGAGAAAGATCAATACATTCTTGTGATGTGAGGTTTGAGTAAACAGCCGCGAAATACGCTTGTTGTGCTTTGCTTCGGCCAGGAAATCATCCAGGACCAACACGTTCTGTTGACGAGCATCAAAGTAATCCTCATCCAAGATATCGTAGGGAATTCCTTTGACAAAGGTCAGCTGAGGCAGCTACACCAAACGATGCGGGTAGGTTGGGGTTGGATCAGGCCATGCCGGAGTACATGAGAGGTAAACACAGACTTTCCACAACCACTGGGTCCCACAACGAGCGCATTTGAGGGAATCAGGAACTTGAATTGTTCTCGAAGATCAGATATACATGGTAAATGAGGCAGCCACGAGTGGACTTGCGATGGCGGCGGCGGGTGTGCTTGTAACGGCGGGTTGGCTTGACGCAGCGGCGGCGGTGGGTGGACTTGCGGCGGCGGCGTTAGCGGGTGGGCTTGTAACGGCGGGTTGACTTTACGCAGCGGCGGTGGCGGTAGCGGATGGGCTTGCAGCGGCGGCGTTAGCGGGTGGGCTTGTAATGGCGAGTGGACTTGCGGCGGCGGGTGGGCTTGTAACGGCGGCGGCGGTATGCTATGTTTATTTCTCCTGTGTCGTAACATGACATCTCTCCTTGAAAACATTTTTTCACAGTCCGGACAGGTGACAACCCCCATGGTGATCCAATACGGTGTGCGATTAGAGGGTATGAAGCTTTCTTTTATACCCTTGACTCTGTTGACGCTTCAAGGCAGCAAGTGCCCGTTCCACCACAGCCTTCACCTCCGACACATGTTGTATTTTCACGGGTTGGGGTGTTGTCTTCGATCCCTGTTTGGTTGTCATCGTTTTCATTTTAGGTGTTACCTGTCTCTTCTTCGTCTTCAGCGTCGACTTCTTGGCTGCTTGTGGTTTCTTTCTCTGTTGTGATTTTCTCAACGTAGTCTTCCTAAATATATCTCTAGGGTCAAGTCTAATCTCTGATGCTTTCTTCGTGTTGTTCACGTCCAATCCGTTTGCTGGCGAGAGTAAAACTGTTTGTCGGGCTACACTACTGTAGAGTTTAAACTGTCTTACACGTGTAGGGATTCTTGGAAGACACTCTTTTCTTCACAGCACACTTGTGAGTATGTTAAAAAAGCGATCAGTATGTGTATTTTAATTTGGTTTTACAATACACACTGGTAAATAATCCTTGATGGTCTTCACCTTTGGCTTCCACAGACAGCAGGCCCAGTAACCCATGCTTATCGGCGACTGACGGGGATCGGTTGGTCAGTCCCGCCTCTCTGAAATAACTCCCTTTAAAAACAACAAATGTACAACACATCTTCCCTAACATATCATGAATACGGGACACTGGTCACACAATTTATGAATGGGAAGCTTCAGGCGAAGCTGGTATGTTAACATTAATAGTAAGGCCGGGGTATGTTGACATTGTTATGGGCGGTCGGTCGCTTAGTCTCTCTGCTATACATTAGCTATGAATAAACCTACTTCAACATATATTTCCAATAAAACATTTTCCTCGTCAAACAATTTTCCATGATAAACTCTGTTCTCTCTTCGAATTAAGGGTGAGTATTGTAAACATGAAAATGTCCTATAGATTGCTTCCATCACTTTCCCAACAAACCTAGCTTCGTACCGTCACACTGCTACATGTACTTATCAGTTTTCTATCTATTTTCAAAATAGCATGTTACACGGTTAAAACTCAAACCATAGGGCTTATTTTTCATCGCGTTAAATGGAAACGCTAGCATTGAAACATCAACTATGCAAGTCGGGACAGGGTTGAATAAGTGAACGCCCTCTATACAAATGGTTCACAATAGTACGTAGCGCGGGGTGTTTCGAAATCCGGCTGCCTTCAGCGTTATAGTCAATGCAGGGTGACGTCACAACCTCGTTGTTGCGCGCTAAATGTAATTAAACGACACTGCTAGCTTGCTGATTGTGAAGACTTATCTATTTTGTCTATATATTTTTTTCTATACAGGTTGTCTAACGTTCGTGGTGTACAACGTGTAGACCGTACAAGATGAATTTGATCCAGCTAGACGTACATTTTTTTCCTTACTTTACCCGGCGTATATCGTGTTGACATAACCCGTCTCTATTGTGGTATGATGTACTTTCAACACACACCCTGTATTCATCAAACCAGGTCGCACGCTCTCGCGAGCGCGGTCAATTTGAAACGACTTCGTGAGTTGTACACTAATTGTAATTTCTACTAACGCCTGAAATTAACGAAACCATTACGACCAATAAACAATTTGAAACGACGTGGTCACGTGAGTTGTCAAGCGCGCTCAATTCAAACTGGGCTGCTTGTCTATTCAGGACAGCACGCTATACATTTAGCTCTATTGAATACCCTTTACTTTTGTTTACTTACGAATTCTTTTCTGCCTTATAAACACACACACCTTTCATTCCCTGCCCTTACCCGACGCGCTGTTGATGCATGAGTCATCCTATCCGATCACGTGACTTGGATCAGCCAATCACCTTCCCTATTTTCACTCAACCTCCCTCAACCAAAAGGAGCTCCTGCCTAGTGACACTATACTACTCCCGGGTCTTTGGCATGACGAGCCAACGCTTTAACCACTAGGCTACCCGACCGCCCCTTAAACAATACATGTATTAGCAAAACACGTGATACAAAACGCCTGCCTTCCAAAAACCCAAGTTGTAAGGACCTCTCGAAATAAATACCCACACGACGTTCTTCGAAGATTTATGGTGAGTGCTGTATCCTGCACTGAAAAGTTAAAACAAGCTCAAGCAGGAAAACCTTGATGCGAGGCAACAACAAGGTGGCAAAACGCAATGCTAATTTTCGCGCAAGAGTGGCTGTGAGAAAGAAATGTCTCCCTGTTATTAATGTGGGGAAATGACCTCTACTCTTATCACAACATACTTCCAAGAGGTAAACACATATACAAATGACCTTTACTGGACATTTTCTTGACATATGCGTGTTACAATTAGCTTGTCAGGAATAGAACATTGCACAATATTTATATGCAATATTAAATGTACATGAATGTACGCATATTGAAATGAAATCTTACACATTAGAGGGGGTCACAGCGGGCTTACTATGAACACCGTATGTCCGTATTCACTCTCTTTACATGTTACCAAATTCTCTTCAGAAAACACATGCGTGCCACTTATATGTTTCCATGCAATAACATTTATATCATATGCAACATTCCTTTATTCTTTGTCTAGTGTGTTGTGCTTAGGCGCCCGTTTGCAGTGTATATTGGTGGCATTAGCACTTGACTCAATTTACCAGCAACTCTATAAAACTTTCCTGTCGCTTGTCTGGCCGCTTGATAGCGTTGTTTCCGAACACCCGCTTCAAGCTCATTGGACCGGGCCAATTGCCATGTGACAAAACGGCCGATGTCGACAGCGGTGTTGCCTTGTTTAGTTCAAGGTTACAGAATATATGAATTAGCGTCAGTTGTACTTGCCTGAGAGTGAGTTGCTACAAGTTGCGGTAACCGCTAACATAGCCGGGAAGACGTTGTTTTAGAGTTTGTATAGCTGCATGGTGATTCTGTTCAGAGCGGTGGAAGTTAAAATGTCTCGTTTTCATCCAATGCTCGCTGTTACAGGTAAGGCATTTGTATTCAAACTGACATCGCGGTGCTCATACCGACAATATGGTCTCTTAATTTTTCTGTTACAAATATTTAACTAAAAACATACAGCTTTACGAAACATCATAACAGGACACGCGAAAGTATAAATACAGCATTGTTATAATGTGTTGTGCAGCATGTGGGTCATAGTGAGTTGTCATGTAAAGAATCCCACCTTATGTAGATGGTGAAACAGAATGATGTGTCGTCGTAATGATACGTTTTTTTCATTTCCAGCTATTATGTTATACATAGCCATATGCGAAAGCGCGATTACCGCCTGTGTCGACAATAGCAGCTGTAACGGACACGGCACGTGCCCCACCTCTTGTTCATCTCGGTGTTCGTGCACGGATGGCTACGGTGGTTATGACTGTACTATCCGTAAGTGAAAAGCATAATGATCGTTACAAAACACATAAGCAGCGTTATCAAATCTTAGAAACAAAGGAAATACAATGAATCATCGTAACCTCAAACTCATGAGTCCACGAATGAATGTCAAGCTACCCGAAACAAAGATATCAGAGCATGCTGTTGTTTAAGATTCTACCGGGTCCATCAAATAAAATTATCTTGAACGATATATCTAGATAGTTAATCCATGATAATTAGCGATCATTTATTTACTCAATAATTATTTACTTAACACTTGAAATCCCAACAAATGTGTGCTTTTGAAGGTTTCAGAGCTTTATCACATCATTTATTTTAACAATAAATTGTACTGTTAAAGTTTACATTTACACTAACTGACTATTTGCTTTTCATACAGCACTACAGTCACAGTCTGCACTACTGACTGAATAAAATATTTACCATAACATTTTATCTCTGTTGCAGTTTGTTCGGGTTTAGTGTACAACTAAATATAACATAAATAGTTGAAATAAACTTTCGTGTATTTCTACAGCCCCAGTCTGCACTATTGGCGGAACGGAGTGTGGTCCCCATGGCAGCTGTTCAACATCATACAGCCCATATCACTGCATATGCACGGATGGATATTCAGGGCCAACGTGTACAACAGGTATAAGAACATGTCTGTTATATATAGAAAACGATGTTAATATTAATAACAATATTGCTAACATCACTCAGGAATCAAAACCAAACCCGTTGTCCGAAATGCTTTAAAGAATGTAGATGTCCTGTTACACTTTGGTCTTTCCAACCACATCATGGCCGACGCGCCCTGATTTGATGTGTATAATAAAAGTGGAAAGTATTATAGCTAAATAAAAGCGACTAACATCTAGTGTCACATGCAATCTGTACTGTTAAATGGCAAAAGTATTCTCTATGTGTTCAGCTTTTGATTAGACGTGCATATTTTCTATAGTCTTGGATGTGCAGCTATTCTGTTCAATTTAAACAGCCCCAGTCTGCACTAGTGGCGGAAAGGAGTGTGGTGCCCATGGCAGCTGTACAACAACATCCGGCCAATACTACTGCGCATGCACGGACGGATATTCAGGGCCAACGTGTACCACAGGTCGGTGATGATAAATCATACTATGAATAGATCGAATGAAAATTTCATGTGTGCAGTAAAACATAATACATATCACAGTGGCGTTGGAATGGCGTTGAAATACACTCTGTGACTTATTGGTGATAAATAATGCTGATCGTCCATTGTGTAAATGTCGAGTTGTGCATCTGCGATTGTTCTTCTCTTATCAAATAAAGTTATATTTAAATAAATATATGAAATTATTTAAACGATAAATCAACAATATTAATATGTTCATATTACTATCTGATCACTGAGAACTAAAAACCAAACCCTTTGTCTGAAATGCGTAAAGGAATGTAGAGAGTCAATATACCTGTGCTTTCTAACCATATCATTGCATACCAAATCCCTGATTTGATTAATATACTGAAAGTGTGAAGCATTACAACTCAATTAAAGGGAGTAACATTAAGTGTTAGTTGCAGCAAGGCTGTGTCCGTATTGTCTAGGGGTATGGGTGTTGTTGTAGTATGGTGATATACTGGTATGCTATCACAATATTATTTTATGATAATTGTAACGTGAAATAAATCTAGTGCGCATCAAGTAGACATGAGGATGTACAGCCACGATGTTATTTCTCTCATACAATAAGATTACATCTTGTCAAATTTATGAAGAGTTTAATATGCACAGCTTTTCAGCACCATCACTGTCACAATCATAACTAAAGAATGAAAACCAAGTACTTTGTCAGATCTTCTTAAATGAATACATATGTAACTTAATTCATGATGCACAATGCAATTGTATAGTGAATAGATTCATTCACTTAAGTCTTATAATATGAATGTGTTACATGTTTTCGTCGCCATACGGCAGAGATATTTGCTGACGTAACGTTATCTTGTGAATCACTCACTGTCATATCGCCAATGAGAAGTTTGTAAAATCTCATTCAAAATAGTCTCCAAGATGTGCCACTTTCAATGACTCTGGTTGATACTATCTGTCTATTTACCTTTTGACACCACGGACATATTTTCTATGGTCTCGGGTGTACAGTTATTCTCTTAATCATTACAGCTCCAGTCTGCACTATTGGTGGAACGGAGTGTGGTCCCCATGGCAGCTGTTCAACATCATACAGCCCATATCACTGCATATGCACGGATGGATATTCAGGGCCAACGTGTACAACAGGTAAGCAACGATGAATCCTGTCACGATCGGATCAAACGCAAATGGCCATTTCATGTGTGCAGTGAAATATATTGAATATCACAGTGGCGTGGGAACAAAACTGCGCCCTGACTAATTAGGGACACGTGTGTTGTTCTTATAGTATGGTGGTGAATCCCATAACGATCGGATCAAATGAAATTCACGAGTGCTGTAAGATATGAATATCACAGTTGCGTTGGATTTGTTTGTTTGTTGTTTAACGCCGCACTCAGCATTATTCCAGCTATATGACTGCGGTCTGTCACTAATCGAGGATGGACCAGACAATCCAGTGGTTGGGATACAATGCCATGCATTAACCAAGTCAGCCAATCTGACCACCCGATCCCTTTAGTCACCTCTTACGCTACTCATGGGTTGCTGAAGACCAATTGTAGCCCGGACATTGACAGGTCCAGTGGCGATGGGATGGCGTGAAATACATCTAGTCTACATCGAGTAGGAATTGAGCTGTGCAGCCACGATGGTACTTCTCTTATCCAATATCAGTCTTGTCAAATTTATGAAAGGTTTAATGCAGAGCTATTCAGCAACATCACTGTCATAAAACTGAAGAATGAAAATTAAGTTGTTTGTCAGATCCTCTAAATTGAATGCATATGTAAGTTGATTAACGGTCACATTGCAATTATATAATGAATAGATTCACTCACTTGAGTCCTATAATATGAATGTGTAACTTGTTTTCGTCGCTTCGTGTCTCAAAAGAAACTCAGGTGATATTATCCAACTGTTTACCTATTGACACCACGGGCATATTTTCTATGGTCTCTGGTGTACAGTTATTCTGTTAATCATTACAGCTCCAGTCTGCACTATTGGTGGAACGGAGTGTGGTCCCCATGGCAGCTGTACAACAACAACATCTGGCCAATACTACTGCGCATGCACGGACGGATATTCAGGGCCAACGTGTTCCACAGGTAGGTGACGATAAATCCTGTCACGATCTGATGAAATGGAAATTGTTGTATCATGTGTGAAGAGAAATATAGTTGAATATCACTGGGGCGTTGAAATGGTTCACAAATGCATTGTGATTATATAATACAAATCGTCCATCTTGAATAGATGAAGTATTCGAGTATTCTTTTCTTAACCATACGATTACATGTTATATTCATGAAACTATACTGAACAACCAAAGTTCCTGTGACATTGAATAAGATTTAATGCAAAGTTATGTTTTTTACCAAATCTGAAACAATTTCAGTTTACAACGGATAAAAGACTCATGTAAGTGTTCAAATGGTTTAATTTGCTATCCTAACTTCAGAAAATGTGTGATTTCATATAAAAAACATGAACACGCCAAAATGTCAATTTATAAATCAATAACGTGTGTGTCCACATCTGGTTGCGATTCAAGCAACACATCTTCGTCTCATGTAATGGACCAGGCGTCGCACAAAGATCTGTGGGATATCTGTCCATATCTGCTGGAGCATGTTTCGAAGTTCCTGGAGTGTCTGTGGAACACGTGGTTGACGTCGAAGGCGCCGATCCATCTCATCCAAAATGTGCTCGATTGGTGAGCGAGCCGGCCAGGAGATGACATTCACGTTGTTTTGTTGAAGAGAATCCTGAACAAGTCGAGCAATATGAGGCCGGGCGTTGTCATGTTGAAAGGTAATGCCTGGGCCATGACGACACAAAAACGGTAGAACAACAGGGCCGATGATCTCGTCGCGGTAGCGCTTTTCATTGAGATGTCCCTCCACCACTATCAAACGGGTTCTCTGTCTTGCTGTAATCCCACCCCATACCATAACGCTGCCGCCCCCGAACCGATCTTCTTCCAAGACACAATGATTGACGTTACATTCACCTCGACGTCGGTACACTCGAATCCGTCCGTCGCTGTGGCTGAGGTGAAAACGAGACTCGTCAGTAAATAGAACTTGTCCCCACTGCATGGCCGTTCAGCGTAGACGCTGTCTGCATCACTGTAGGCGTGCTTGACGGTGGTTTCCTGTCAAAATGGGACGTCTGACGGGTCTTCTGGCGACAATCCCTGCACATCTGAGGCGTCGACATACGGTTTGTGAAGATATTCGTCGAAGGCCAGGGATGCTTCTTGCAGTCACTGTTGCTGGCTGGAATCGATTTCGTAGGTGTGTTGTTCGAATCCAGTTGTCTTGTCGCGTGGCCTGCCACTCCGGGGATGGTCTCTGACTGCATTCGTCTGTTGCCAACGTTGCCATAAACACCAAAAGGTGTTTCTGTGGACTTTAAATCACGTTGCCTCGATCCTGCTTCAAGCATACCAATGGCTCGCAGACGCTCATTTTCGGACAGGCGTGGCATTTCGTAATGTTGAGTAATTGCGTAATTGTGTTGTTTTTCTGAGTGGTTGTTGTCAGCACGATGCTAAACAATGCATATGGAATCCCGTTAACGCACATGTTTTTATACCCATTCTTGGGTAGTGAAATTCATGGGACTTGCATAAAAGTCAACTTTTGCATGAAATGCATGCTTTTCTGTAGCAGTTGCGTTTTTGTGACTTGATTCCATACATGTACTGCAATATCGAAAACTAAACTTTACTTGTTTGAAAAATACACTAAGATATTGGTGTCACAGGAACTTTTGTTGTTGAGTATATTATAATGATTGATCTAATTATATTAATATGTAGATTTTGGCTATCACAATTATCACATCACTGAGGAATAAAACACAAACCCTTTGTCCGAAATGCTTTGAAGAATGGAGACAGTGAGTTAAAATATAACGGCGCATCGGCATTATTTCAGGCATATAGCGACTAAGGAGACAGTCTACATGTATGTAGCGTTACACTTTGGACTTTCTATGTCCCCCTACACTTTGGGTTTTCCAACCACAGCAAGCCGAACTGCTCTGATATGAGTCACTCTCTGCACCCCTGGACACTCGCCAGCTAAAGATCTTTCTGATCCGAAAATACTACTGTATATGTTCAAATTCAAATAGCTTTGTCTGTATATTTGTATGTTGTTATGTCTATCGTAGCACATTGTACACACATAATGTATGGAATTTAGCACGGTATAAATACACTTATTAATAGTATATACTGGAAGTGTAAAGAATTAATAAATTGAATTGAAGGGATTTAACATCAAGTGCCACATCCCGCACATTGTGTCCCTGTCGATTAGGGGCAGGGTGGATTTCTTATGATTATGAAAGGGTTCTGTTACTATTATTTGTAGTATATGGGGCTTCAATTCGATGTGTTTCTCAGACAACACAATCATGTCAAATAAGACCATAACCACAGTTACGTTTGCCTTTAAATATATATCTTTTGACTAAAATGCAAACTTTTGTATGGTTGGGATGAATTAAAATAACCTTAATAGTGGCAAAATGTTCATGAAATTTGTTGTTTTCATAACAATATTCCAACTTGTTTTTAACACATCAAACATGACTGGGGCTCAGTATAATTTGGTGCTGCTTCCACTTCAGCACCAACAGTCTGCACAGCAGGAGGGAACGAATGTGGGGCCAAGGGAGGCTGTAACACATGCATGAACCCCTCTGTCTGTCAGTGTTATTTCGGCTATGGCGGAAATACATGCACCATAGGTATGGAGGCACTTGTACAGAAAGGGAATATCAGAGAGACAAAGTAAAAGAGAGCAGAGGCAGAAAGGCTCTGAATGTTTCTACAGACTCATCAATAATATTATATGTTTGGAAACACACACACTAACACAGCTCCAATGTTAACATAAAACATACACTCAGCTCATCTACATTCAATAAGCTCGTATTTGAACACGAAAAGACATAACTTTTTAACATTTTAAGATAACAGACACAACTCCTTTTCTAAATATAACAAACGCAGACAGTTGTATATGTCAACATGTATATAGTTTAACAGAACACACAACCCACACACAAAGCGCTGTATCTTAATATTATGAATTCACACAGTTCCAGATTACAACCACCTGACGAGCAATACGTATCAGAAATCACTTTGAAATTAATTTATCCAAATGCTATTTCTATTTAGAGCATGTTTAAATATAATCTATAATGCTATTTAATACTATTTTTACTAATAAAGCCTAACAAATACATTTTAGAAGTTGACGATGCTAAGCATGAAAAATGTATAGAGATGTAATCGCTGGACACTATTTTCCAGCTCCACCGTGCACCCCCAACGGAAGTGAGTGTAAGAACGGAGGACTGTGTATCACATCAACATTCCCCTACAAGTGCCTCTGTCATCCAGGTTATAGTGGACCCACATGTCGTAAGTCGCTTGCTACTTTTTATACACAACCCAAACTCAAGTTGCATAAAAAGCAAATTGCCTATTACTCATTTTATGAAAGCACATGAACCCAAAACAGATTTACATAAAACGTAGGTCATGGCATCACTATCGAATTGCGACCAAACGGGCAGTGATTAAATGAATGTGTTGACTGACGCTAAAACCGCGCCCGTTCTACGTCTCTTTCAGAAGGTGCTGGGAGTCGGGTTTCTTGCTTCATGGCCACGCTCATCATCTCTGCATTGGCGAGTTTGTTCTTCGTGCAATTCTAATCACCATGAGGCTTAAATAATGTCATGATAAATTGACCGTCTAAATTGTGGAACTATTTCTAGAAATATATTTGTTTGCTTCAAAGAATGTGCTAGTGGCCTCTAATCTAAATCTAACTTATGCCAATGGTTGTAGAATATGAATGGAAATATATTGCACTCACAAAATCAAGAAACGCAAAACCACATGTTGATGCTATTGAAACGAAGACTTGTTGATCGTTGATTGGTACGTCAGATAATGTCAGCATTTTTAAAGAACTCCACAGCTGACTCCGGTCAATGTTGCTGAAATGACAGATCACAGGTCCAGTGTCAAGGTCCTCACCGGTCACCGCTCCCTGTGTGTTGAGGACTACCTGACATGTCCTGTCTTTAGAACCATTCAGAGCACGTGTCACACCCTGCGGAATGGTGGCCCATTCTTCTGCAATGCTCGAACGAGGCTGTGGTTGTCCTGTCCGATGATGTTTTGGGTTTAAGTATCGTGTATCGTGAATTTTCCGACGACTGCGAGGAAATATGAGGGGTTTCCCACATGACATTCGATTAAATGCTGTACCACTAAGTCGACTAATTTTACTTTGAATCCCGAATGCATCCCTTTTGCGTTTCTTTATTATGAAGAGTTTACATGTACATGCGTCATTGTCCTGCTTCTTGTAACCTATGCGATCATAGGAAATGATTGTTACTTGTGTTACTTACTGAATCTGTCAATACGAATGAAACTCTCTTACAATGGCTTTGCTGAAACACCAAACTCATTACAATATTCATTGCCCTTCACAATCAGTCGTGTTTCGTTTGTGATATTCAGGTGTTCTTGCAACATCCTTGTTTTCTCTTCTACTATTATTTAGTATGTTGATGAATGTCAAAGCATGACAAATTACACAGTGCGTTTTATAGTGATCATAACACGAATAACGGTATGCTTTCATTTGTATATTTGAATCGGAGTGGAATACTAATAAATGTTGATGCTATATGTTCAAACTTTCTTTGTCTAACTCAAAATGTTTTGAATTGGAACAAGCTTTATGTGTTGGTGTTTTTTCTTGACACATGTGATATTGTGCCAGCAAATGGCTTTGAATTCTTAAGTGAACGAAAGTATTAATGACGAAGCAGATTTAATCAATTAAACCAGGCTCACGTGTAAGGTGAAGTTTGATTGTAGTTGTTACGACACTGAAATGCTGGTTTACTTGCACAACTCTCCCTGCCCTGAGTGTTAGTAGCAAGATTGACATCAATCATAATCTAGCAGATCTAGAATGTTCATGACGTCTAAAATATATTTTGAATGTTAGTCTCATTTAATTGTGTCATTTGATGTCTCTAAATGTTTCTTTGAATACTGCTCCTCGATCTTGCTGCACAATCTCAAGTAAACCCCCAGCATCCCAGTGACGTAGCAAAAGGAACTAGAATCAAACTTCATCCTACAGGTAAGCCTCGTTTAATTGATTAATTCTGACCACACCATGAGCATGTCTTTATTAATCGCTTTCGACTGAAACTGCTGCCTGCCATCTTAAAGGTTCCCGGACAGTGCAGCCCACACAACTCCGAGGGTATCCCATGCAGAGGGACGTTACTCACTCACGTACACGAGCAGGGAGCCAACCATCACTAAACGAGGTCCATTGGGTAAAGCCACAAAGGACTCAAAAGAGATAATATCACCCCTAGCCAAGAAGTATTCCGCCACGGGTCATGTACAAGTCGTGAGCACATGTTGATTGAATAACTTATTTTGATAGATGGGTTGTAACATGTTAGGAACTGGAATAGACACTGCTGATAGGAGGAGGGGGAGGGGGGGGGGGGGGGGGGGGGGCGTTGCTGCTGTGTCGGAATTCATGAGATTACACAAGGGTTATCCCCCTTGAAAATCGTGACCAGAATGGTGATAGTTGAACCTCCCTTGGGCTACAACTTCACATTTTATATGAATCGAGTAAACATTTAACTCTCCCAGACTTGGAGTCGAATGTCTCAATGTATACCGTGAAAATGCATGGAGAAAGCATTCTGCATTTATTTTGTCACTCAAACATCGTCATCTAACAATATAGAAGGATAGGGAATTGTTGCTTTGAAGAAAAGGTCACCTTTGCGGGACAATACATGAGACGAATGGCAAGCCATATGCATGGATTCTTCGGATAATAAGTTAAACTCTACAACATAGCGAAAGTGACTGAATGCAAAGTCTGTTTAAAACATCATTTGTTTTGCTGTTTTCCATTGAAAACAAGAGAAATGATCAGAAATGTAGGCGCATACCTGTGGAGTTAGCTTATTTTAGCGTATATGTATTCAGCGGTATGCAACTGGGTGAGAGTGAATTAGCTCCCTTAGTCATAAGCACATGTTGACATTTGTACAATGCAATGCCGTAGCTTGTTTACATTAAAATGATCATGAAGCCTATGAAGACTGGTGTCTTTATTTGAGAACTCGACAATACCGTCGTCGTTGTAATGATGTTGCATCTGGAACGAGGACTAAAAGTGTGACATTTGTGTTGAATTGACCAAATTATTGTAATATGTATTTGCTTAATTCCCCAATTCTTGCTTCGATATTCAGCCCATGCACATTCTCAGAGCACAGCGTTCGTTTTCACTCCTGATTTCATTCGTTTGATTTCATGCAGACTATTTGTATAAGTGACAACTAATTTTGTCATGGTGTGATGAGGATGTATGGCAAATGAGTTTGAATATATGTGATTAAGAGTAGGTAGTTGTACTTACATGTACAATGCTTATAAAACCAGTGTAGTGACCATCAGCCGGTAGCCTACGTCATCTCGAGAAGAGCACGTCGTATACCGAGTGTAGGACCTATATGGCCGACTTGACGCGTGCCTCGTGGATGATGAAATACGCCTATTCGATTCCTCCAGAGATCCAGCGAGGTGACCATTTTATTGTAAGGACATTCACTATGATTTTAGGATCCGAAATGATCAAGCCTTATGCCGATTTCCTTACGTTTTTAGGATCCTTTCAAATAAAATTTTACCAGAGCTTGCAGCGAGGCGACTGACCATTAAAAATGTAGATATTCGCTTCCAATGTATGTAGGTATACCGCCCACCAATGTATATATTTAGTATCATATTTATTCCACCGTGTATATAATATTTGTATTTGATTATCTGTAAAATGTATGTTCTCTACATCACTGAGTGACATTTGAGAAAAAAACATTGTTCTGTTCTGTTCTTCAAAAGCACACTGTAAACAATGAACGAACCACGCAATCGGGTCAAAGCGCCTGATCACCACCCAATCTTATCTAGTCTACTCTTACACTAATGTTCATAAGTGCCGGTTCCTGAAAGCGCAGGTTCCTGAAAAATACCGAGTGGCAAACCACAACAGAGCGTTTAAGGCCGTTTCACAAACCCACGTCACTTACAATGAGTCGTAAAATCACCCTATACGTAAATATAAATTCCATTTATCATAAGAAATATCTCCAAAATGCAGTGTCCATCGTACGATTCTGACAATACCATGAGCGTGTCTTTATTAATCACTTTCAAATAGTGATGATACCAGGTCTTCGCCAAAGGTGAGGGTATCTTGTGTACGTTATAAGTCAAAATAGGGAATTGCATCGGACATCATTTTAGGTCACTGATACTTCAAATTTGGAAATATCCTCCACATGTCTACAATGATACGGGGGCACGGGTGGCCAAGTCGTCTGAGGCGCCGCGATTCACTGTGCAGAGTGTCGTCCCTTGGGCACGCCAGAAACCTACGATTGTGTTTTCGAATCCCGGTTCGCCCCGATTATGTTTCTAGGTTTGTGAGGACCGTACCCGTGCTCGTGGGTTTCACCGAAGTGGTAAACGTCGGAAACCTGTATCACTTTGGGCTTTCCTCACACATTAAGCTGATATACCGTGATATAACTGGAATACTGTTAAAAGCGGCGTTAAACCCAACTCACTCACTCACTCACTCACTCACTCACTCACTCACTCACTCACTCACTCACTCACTCACTCACTCACTCAAAAAGGGAATGTTGACTGTTGGAAATTTATCTTGACATACATTCTTGTGGAAATCGTTTATGCCCCTCTCTATTCATAGATATAAATATGAAACAAATGTGGCGGTTAATGTTTCATTTATTTCTAGTTCTGGGGGTACACCAGAGGACGGGAATTGGCTATTTTACCATTATTGAACGATATGGGATCATCGATATACTAGTACCTGAGGCTAAAGTTAAACTTTTTGGCCATATTCCCTTGTTTTAATTTTGCCACTATTCATAGGCATAAGGAAACAATGCAGCAAGAAGGGGGAGCCCAAAACAATCTCATGGGTTCTGAAGGAATCTTCCTTTGTAATTGACACTAACATGGCAACATTTGTCTTTCTTTCGGATATGATAAATAAACATACAGTACAGTAAAATACGTTTATAACGAACTGACAGATATAGCCAAAGCATCTTTTGGTCCCGGCCAGTTGCTGTATATATGCTGAATATATACTTATAACGAACTACGGTTATAACGAACTGAAATAAGTGGTCCTTTTGAGTTCGTTATAACCGTAGTTCAATGTCAAAGAGAACGAATGTTCTAAGACAGATTACGAATACCAAATTTTGTGTTGATTTTGACTTTATTTCGCCACATAGATTTCCTAGCTCGTTAATCACATTGATACAGCGTTTGCGCTCCTGCCCTACATAGATTGAAGGTTTAGTTGTTATTCAGAGGGAGGTTGAAGGTTTGCGCTTCTGTATACATTCAGGTGTGTTATAGAGATTAATAATGTTACATGTAGACTCCCAACTTGAAACAATATGTTAACCCAGAAATGTGTACTTAAAACCAACGAACAACCAACAAATGGTATACAATCAACAAAGGTATTACAACATTCACTAGGCTTACAAATCAATACAAATTACTGCACATCAATTACTATGGCAGTACACACTAGAGTCGTAGTACACAAGTCAATGAGTGTATAAAATATGATGACAGTGGTCAGGATCAAATACAAAGTTACAGTGGTAATAGCAAAGGTCACTGACAATAATATATATATATTCATCGGGCAGCGACAGTGATCAAGCTTCCGAGAAAGGCCCAGGAAAAGAATATTGGATGATGAGTGATTTTCACACGAAAGCTGGTCAGTATATTTAATTGTTTATGAGTTAAGTGCCGAAAGTGATCCCCATCACCAATAGCGAAAGACACCAGTACAGCACTTATGTGTTTCACGTGTAATATTGAAGAGCTTATGTGTTAAGCTGTGGAAATGACCCCACTCTCATTTGAACATATGGCCGTGTTGCCTTCGAAATGCAAACAATTATTTGTTTCTTAATTCATGTAAAGAATAAGACATCAGTTCGGCTCTTGTCACTACATAAGTGCATTAGATAACACATACACAACTGACCATTACGCTTTCTAGAAATACGCATGTTACAAAGCGCCTGATATCAGGAATAAAACATTGCACACTATCGATATGCAATAATAAATGTACATGAGTTTACGCGTCTTGAAATAATTTCTTAGACATTTGAGGGGGTCACAGCGGGGTTTTGTTACTAGGAACACCATGTATGTGTTAACTCTCTTGTCATGTTACAAAATGCTCTTCAGAAAACACTCGAGTGTCACTTATATGTTTTCCTACAATAACATTGATATCTTATGCAACATTCCTATCTCCTTTGTCCAATGTTTTATCATTAGATTCCGTGGCATTGCTGGATATTGTACTTGACTCAATTTTACCAGCACATGATTTGGGCGGATCTAGGTTATTGAATCAGGAAAACTGACATTTTTTTACTCTGTAAAACTACCCTGTCGTTTGTCTGGCGGCTAAATAGCGTTGTTGCCATACAACGGCTTCGAGCTCATTGGACCGGTTCAATTGCCATGTGTCAAAACGGCTGATGTCGACAGCAGTGTTACCTTGTTAACTTCAGGTCGCCAAGGATACAGGGCGTATGGTACAGCATCAGCTGCACTGACCATGGAGTAAGTTGCTACAACACTAGAGGCAGCTCTGGTAACGGTTGACATAAAAGAGAAGACGTTGTTGTAGATGTGGTCTATTTGCGGGTTGATTCGGATCAGAACGGAAGATCTCAACATGGCTCGTTTTCATGAAATCCTATGCACTCAGCAGATAGATGATGACAAACACTTTGAAATCTCGGAACTCGTATATGCTCCAAAAAGATTTATGTATCTACCACACAACACCCCTGTCGTGACTGTCTACTTAGAACTATTTGTGTTATTATCATTATTACTTATGTAAGTAAGGATATTAGAATGACGGTTAAATGATATGCTTACGTCACTAAGGAATTTTCTCTCACGTCAAGCTGACACGGCGTGATATAACTGAATACCACACAAAAACAGAAGACAGACAGACAGACAGACTTTGTTTTGACTCGAGCCATATTTGGCTTCTGGCAAAGTACACAAGATACATAATGATGTTTGGCGTAATGGACATAATATAATTACAATACATTATTAGTAGTACAGAATAAAGTTCAGATCTTCGTCGAGAATGAAAAAATAAATATTTAAATTAATTGTTGTTCCTTAATTTAAAAGATTCATTTTCTCCGCTCCGGGAAACCTATTACTACCATGTCTCCCAGTTTCAATTCAGAGGGAATGAGATGGTAATCTCAATCTAGTAAGGGCGACTCTATGATTTAAATTTAATACATGACAAATATAATTTTCTATTCCAAAGATAGGCTTTAACTGTTTATTCAAAAGATGTGATAACCTCCGTGGAAATCATAATATATGTAAGAAAAACAAAACATAAAACTACCTCACAACCAGTTTTTCCGCAATGTCACATCCGCATGAGTTTGATGCGTTAAGGACACAGCATAATGTTTTAAGTATTGTTTCTTTTTGTATATTATGGATTTCTGTATGAAAGGTGAGATAGGTGCGGGAGAGGTTTGGGTGGGAGTGCAGGGCACATTTTGAATTCTTGACTACAGTTGAGGACAGGTTCACATCAGTGCGGTGCATTGCCGTGGAGACTGGTGGAGAGGTGGTGAGTGGGGGACTAAAGATGACTGTGACGATCCAAGATTCGCAACTCTAAGATACTCACGGACATGCGCACGCAACCACTCACCCCCCCCCCCCCCCCCCCACTCCCCCCCCACACACACACACACGGATCACTCAGTGGTGCAAAATTTAGGGAACGCATTTTTACAGTTGCATATAACGATCCAAAACTATTTCCTCGTAATTTAGTGATGCTTTCTGACTTTATATTTCAATTAGGAAACGAGAGCTGTGGATCTTTCCTGAACTTAGATAAATATTCAAAGATAAGGTTTCTAGAATGTGAACAGACCCCAAAAGCTGGTTGATTACAGTTTGTCTTTTGTGATCATTTATGCAAATAAATTGGTGTGCATTTTGCTTTTAGATTTAAAAATTCTTTAATATCCATGTCTGCAGACACCTGACAATACATTTGATGATTTCCACTACTTAAATTACTTATTTATTTATGTTTTATATATCATAATACACCAAATGACAAAGTACAAAGTTTTGTCAGGAGCACACTCCTGTTATAAAATAATAAGAGACAACTGTCTTCTGCTATGTAGTAGTAGACTAAACTATTCACCTGGAAATGATCTGGACATGGCAAAATGTTTGGTCTTTTTCTGTTCGGGAGCTCGTAATACACCATTGTTTCTTTTAGAACTGTGTTGAACGGAGATTCCAAGACACTGCTTGAACATGCTTGGATTTTAAAGCAATATACAATTCACATAAAAAACATATTGCAAGTTGAGTGTTATAGTGAACTCAAAGACGAGACGTGTAACCAAATATGGTTTAGCTCAGGACAGAATGCTGGAATATGTTTGATATTGCCCATCATCTTAAGTTGTCAAACATAGATATTACATTGCTCGATCTTTTCATCATAAAATGTGCAAGCATTTTGTGTTAAACATATGTAAGCAAGTGATACAATGGTAAACTCCCGTTGTGCCGGCATGATAATTTCCATTACCAGATTTAAAGAGAAGAAACATACAGTAGTTTAGTGAGTAGAAGTGGCAAGGGATTAGCTGTGTTCTGGACCATTTTGTTGTTTTAAGCTGCAATTTTGGAAGACAAACAGACAGATAGGTTGCTTGAATGACCATCCATAAAGCTCTATTCAAACAGTGACCATAAGATACTTTGTTGTAAGCGACTGGAGCCTGTATGCGACGGGAGTTATGTTCGCCTGAAATTCCGCCGCTCATCGCATGCAAATCAAGGGCAGAGAAGTATGTTTCTAATAGCCGCAGCTTGATAATGGTATAAGGATCTACATCGAAACGTAGATATATGTAATAAACTAGAAGTTGTTATCCATAAAAGCGTACGTTTTCGTACTTACTCACCAACTTCTAGAATGCCAATGAAACAGTTATTCTTTGAATGCTGAATGCGCCAGTACAGTTCATTTATTCATCTAATATCGCTAACTAAGACTTGAAAATCATACATAGGACAAAATCAATTGAGAGATATAGTTCTTTATATAACTGATATACTGCTGAAAGCGGCATTGGGTGTTATATGATCAAAACACACCACACATATGCATTTGGTCTTGAACCGTACCTTTTATTTCAGTGGAACAACCGACTTACATCAGTAACTCTACACGTCATCAAGGTATTGCACAAGGGAGGAGATCAAGTAAGACAGACGTTTTTTTCATATTAATCAGGACAGAAACATCACCAATTACAAAGGTTTCTATGGTTTCATGAAGCAAGCCAGTGACACAGGTAAATGTTTCACTCATATTATGAATCCGTCAGCTTTATTTGGATCTAGTCTGGTGATCATTAGCACGATCTTTGAAGTAGACAAACGAAAAACATTCAATGAATATTTTCCAAAATAGCTTGTCAATTTAGATAGTTGCCATTACAGTATTTATACCAAGCGACGATTAGAACTGCATCAAGAATAGACTCGACAATGCAGAGACGATGAGCGTGGCCACGAAGAAGGTCAACTGACTGCCAGCTCCCTCTGAAAGAGACGTAGAAAAGGCGTGGTTTTAGTATCAATGAAAATATCTGTCCGTTTGGTCCAATTGAGCTTGTAGGCCCATGGAAGATGACTTTTTCAAACCGTTTTGAGTATACAATGTACGTATTTTGATAAAAGACGTCATAGTCAATTTGTCTTGTATGTAACTTGAATTTGGATTTTGGGTAAACGTAGCACATCAGTGAGTGAGTTAAAATTTAACGGCACCTCGGCAGTATCTTGGTCATTTAGTAACGAGCGAATTCTTAAGCACGAGACTTACGACAAGTGGCTCCAGTGAGGCCTATGGGACAGGTACACTGGTAGGGGAGTGTGGATGTGTCGCACGATCCTCCGTTCTTACACTCACTTCCGTTGGGGGTGCACGGGGGAGCTGGAAAGTAGTGTCCGGCGATTACATCTGGTTATATTTTACATGTTGAATTTTTCTTGATCAGCTTCTTGATTTTAGCAGTGATTTCTTCGCCTTTATTTATTAAATATAATATAAGTGCCTACATACCCGTAGTACATGTATTTCCGCCATAGCCGGAATAACACTGACAGAGATAGGGGCTCATGCAAGTGTTACAGCCTCCCTTGGCCCCGCACTGGTTTCCTGTAGCTGTGCAGACTGGTGCTGAAAAGAAAGCAGAAAATCTCATTTTGAACCCTGGACATGTTTGATGTAATATTGATGCGTTTACAAAAACATGTCATTATTATGCTGGATTATTGGTACGAAAACAGCAAATATCTTGAACATTTTGCCACAAGTCAAGATATTTTTATTCATCTCAACCAATTTTGAACGTTGGCATATTTGTGATCATGTTCGCACTAATCATGTTATCTGAGAAACATATCTACACATCGAAATGAGGTGCTATATCCTACAAAACAATGTGGCAAAGCCTTTTCCATATTGAGAAGAAATCCACGCCTGCCCCTAATTAATAGGGAAACAAATTAGCTTCTTCTGACACTTGCTGTAAGTCCTTATTTTAGTTTAATAAATAATAGTTACACTGTTAGTATACCAGTACATATCCAAGCAGGGCATGCGGTCGTAATGTTGTAGGAAAGCCCTACGTGAAAACAGGGCATACGGTGGACATCTGCAGTCTTTAAGCAGATGGAATAATAGATTTGATTTTGATTTTTGAGTGATGCGATTATGATGTTAGCAACATTCTTTATTTTAATAACGTTTCATAATGACCACACATTTTATGTAGAATTTGTGTGCACATGAATTACTTATAACAAAATGTAATATCATAGCATAAGAAAGTTTAGAATGAAAGAAAGATTTGTATTATTTACTTACCCATATGAAAAATCACAATTACTCTGCATCCCGAACCAGTGAAATTATGCACATGTTGTCAAACACGTAGCAAATATCTTTCGTAATATTGCACTACACGTCTGAAGTAACCACTTTCAATTACTCACAATGTGATATGACTTTTCGGCATACAACAAATACATCAATGCACATAATCATAACGGATGCAGTTTTGTTGCATGTGGCAGGAGAGTTTAGTCCCTTTAAATGAGTGTCATAATACATTGCAGTTTCAGTATACATGTATAAGCAAGTCAGTGTGTAATGTTGTAGCCCAAGGAGTTACAGGACATATATTCTCTACATTCTTTAAATGAATGAAAGGATGAAAGCTGTATAACTAGTATAAATCTACGCGATGGGTCATGAGTTTCAGTCATTTACCAATAAGAAACATGACAATACGTTTTCATGCCATTCCAACGCAACTGTGAAATTTCTATCATTTCACTGCAGTAATGTAATATTCAGCACGCCTTTGTAAAAGATCATGATAGGATAAAAGTCATCTACCTGTGGTACATTTTGGTCCTGAATATCCGTTCTTGCAGATACAGAGGTATTCGCTGCCTGTTGTTGTGCAGTCGCCATTAGTTCCACACTGCTTTCCAGTAGCAGTGCAGATTGGGGCTGTACATATTAGCACAATTACTGTACATCCAAAACCAATGAAATAATGCACGTGTTGATGCACAATATTGATGAGGAATTGCTGTGCAAATAAATAAAGTCATATATAACCCAACATGTAATCCTTATGGATAAGAAATAAATATTCACAGCTGTACCACTCAAATGCGCGATTGACGGTTGTATTATTATATTTTCCCATGTGAAGAATAACAATACGTTTCCACACCATTCCAACGCCACTGTGAAATTCCTCTCAATTCACTGCAGTAATGCAATATTCTATCTGGCATTGTAATAAATCGTTACCAGATTTACAGGCATCTACCTGTGGTACATTTTGGTCCTGAATATCCGTTCTTGCAGGTACAGTAGTATGGGCTGCCTGTTGTTGTGCAGTCGCCGTTAGTTCCACACTGGTTTCCGGCAGCAGTGCACATTGGGGCTGTAAAAATAAACATAATTGCTGTGCATCCAAAACCATAGAAATTATGCACGTGATGTCAAATGCTGTATTGTGCACTTGAAGCAACCACTTTCATTTACTCACAATGCGATGTGATTTATCGTCATACAACAAAGACATTCATGCACATAATCAATACGGATGAAGCATGGTTGCATATGGCATTAGATTTTAGTCCCTTTAATTTAATTATAATGCTTTTCACTTTCAGTATATAATCAAATCAGGGCGTAATGTTGTAGGAAAGTCCAAGGAATTACAGGACATAGACTGTCTATATTCGTTAAAGCAGATAGGATAAACGATTAGATTTTAATTCTTGAGTGATGTGATAATGATGTTAGCAAACTTCTTTATATTATTTACGTTTGGTTGTTACCACAATGGTACAATGTTGATGAGGAATTGCTGTGCAAATCAAAACGTTCACATAATACACAACATGTAATCCTTATGGACACGAAATGAATAATGACAGCTGTACAACTCTATATCTTCACAATGGCCGAATTGCATTATATATTTTCCCATGTCGAAAAATACAATAATGTTCACACCATACTAACGCCACTGTGAAATTCCTCTCAATTCACTGCAGTAATGTATTATTCAACCTGGCATTGTAATAAGATCGTGATAGGATAAAAGTCATCTACCTGTGGTACATTTTGGTCCTGAATATCCGTTCTTGCAGGTACAGAGGTATTCGCTGCCTGTTGTTGTGCAGTCGCCATTAGTTCCACACTGCTTTCCAGTAGCAGTGCAGATTGGGGCTGTATATATTAGCACAATTACAGTACATCCAAAACCAATGAAATAATGCACCTGTTGATACAAGGTGAACACACAGCCAATAACATTCGTATCGGCATACAACAAATACATTCATGCACATTATCAATACGGATGAAGCATGGTTGCATATGGCAGGAGATGCTAGTCCCTTTAATTTAATTATAACGCTTTTCACTGTTAGTATATAATCAAATCAGGGCGTGATGTTGTAAGAAAGTCCAAGGAATTACAGGACATAGACTGTCTATATTCGTTAAAGCAGATAGGATAAACGATTAGATTTTTATTCTTGAGTGATGTGATAATGATTTTAGCAAATTTCTTTATATTATTAACGCTTGGTTGTCACCACAATGGGACAATGTTGATGAGGAATTGCTGTGCAAATAAATAAATTCATATATTACCCAACATGTAATCCTTATGGATAAGAAATTAATATTCACAGCTGTACCACTCAAACATTACGCGATGGACGGTTGTATTATTATATTTTTCCATGTGAAGAATACAATACGTTTCCACACCATTCCAACGCCACTGTGAAATTCCTCTCAATTCACTGCAGTAATGTAATATTCTACCTGGCATTGTAATAAATCGTGACCAGATTTACAGGCATCTACCTGTGGTACATTTTGGTCCTGAATATCCGTTCTTGCAGGTACAGTAGTATGGGCTGCCTGTTGTTGTGCAGTCGCCGTTAGTTCCACACTGGTTTCCGGCAGCAGTGCACATCGGGGCTGTAAAAATAAACATATTGCTGTGCATCCAAAACCATAGAAATTATGCGCGTGTTGTCAAATGCTGCACTGTGCACGTGAAGCAACCATTTTCATTTACTCACAATGCGATACGATTTATCATCATACAACAAAGACATTCATGCACATAATCAATACGGGTGAAGCATTTTTGCATGTGACAGGAGATTTTAGTTCCTTTCATTTAATTATAACGCTTTTCACGTTCAGTATATAATTGATTCAGGGCATAAAATTGTAGGAAAGCCCAAAGAGTTACAGGACACAGACTGTCTATATTGTTTAAGCAGATAGGATAAACGATTTGATTATAATTCTTGAGTGATGTGATAATGATGTTAGCAAACTTCTTTATATTATTTACGTTTGGTTGTTACCACAATGGTACAATGTTGATGAGGAATTGCTGTGCAAATCAAAACGTTCACATAATACACAACATGTAATCCTTATGGACACGAAATGAATAATGACAGCTGTACAACTCTATATCTTCACAATGGCCGAATTGCATTATATATTTTCCCATGTCGAAAAATACAATAATGTTCACACCATACTAACGCCACTGTGAAATTCCTCTCAATTCACTGCAGTAATGTATTATTCAACCTGGCATTGTAATAAGATCGTGATAGGATAAAAGTCATCTACCTGTGGTACATTTTGGTCCTGAATATCCGTTCTTGCAGGTACAGAGGTATTCGCTGCCTGTTGTTGTGCAGTCGCCATTAGTTCCACACTGCTTTCCAGTAGCAGTGCAGATTGGGGCTGTATATATTAGCACAATTACAGTACATCCAAAACCAATGAAATAATGCACCTGTTGATACAAGGTGAACACACAGCCAATAACATTCGTATCGGCATACAACAAATACATTCATGCACATTATCAATACGGATGAAGCATGGTTGCATATGGCAGGAGATGCTAGTCCCTTTAATTTAATTATAACGCTTTTCACTGTTAGTATATAATCAAATCAGGGCGTGATGTTGTAAGAAAGTCCAAGGAATTACAGGACATAGACTGTCTATATTCGTTAAAGCAGATAGGATAAACGATTAGATTTTTATTCTTGAGTGATGTGATAATGATTTTAGCAAATTTCTTTATATTATTAACGCTTGGTTGTCACCACAATGGGACAATGTTGATAAGGAATTGCTGTGCAAATAAATAAATTCATATATTACCCAACATGTGATCCTTATGGATAAGAAATTAATATTCATAGCTGTACCACTCAAACATTACGCGATTGACGGTTGTATTATTATATTTTTCCATGCGAAGAATACAATACGTTTCCACACCATTCCAACGCCACTGTGAAATTCCTCTCAATTCACTGCAGTAATGTAATATTCTATCTGGCATTGTAATAAATCGTTACCAGATTTACAGGCATCTACCTGTGGTACATTTTGGTCCTGAATATCCGTTCTTGCAGGTACAGTAGTATGGGCTGCCTGTTGTTGTGCAGTCGCCGTTAGTTCCACACTGGTTTCCGGCAGCAGTGCACATTGGGGCTGTAAAAATAAACATATTGCTGTGCATCCAAAACCATAGAAATTATGCGCGTGTTGTCAAATGCTGCACTGTGCACGTGAAGCAACCACTTTCATTTACTCACAATGCGATACGATTTATCATCATACAACAAAGACATTCATGCACATAATCAATACGGGTGAAGCATTTTTGCATATGACAGGAGATTTTAGTTCCTTTCATTTAATTATAACGCTTTTCACGTTCAGTATATAATTGATTCAGGGCATAAAATTGTAGGAAAGCCCAAAGAGTTACAGGACACAGACTGTCTATATTGTTTAAGCAGATAGGATAAACGATTTGATTATAATTCTTGAGTGATGTGATAATGATGTTAGCAAACTTCTTTATATTATTTACGTTTGGTTGTTACCACAATGGTACAATGTTGATGAGGAATTGCTGTGCAAATCAAAACTTTCACATAATACACAACATGTAATCCTTATGGACACGAAATGAATAATAACAGTTGTACAACGCTATATCTTCACAACGGCCGATTTGCATTATTCATTTTCCCATGTCGAAAAATACAATAATGTTCACACCATTCCAACGCCACTGTGAAATTCCTCTCACTTCACTGCAGTAATGTGATATTCAACCTGGCATTGTAATAAGATCGTGATAGGATAAAAGTCATCTACCTGTGGTACATTTTGGTCCTGAATATCCGTTCTTGCAGGTACAGAGGTATTCGCTGCCTGTTGTTGTGCAGTCGCCATTAGTTCCACACTGCTTTCCAGTAGCAGTGCAGATTGGGGCTGTATATATTAGCACAATTACAGTACATCCAAAACCAATGAAATAATGCACCTGTTGATACAAGGTGAACACACAGCCAATAACATTCGTAATATTGCACTGCAACCTGAAGTAACCACTTTCATTTACTCACAATGTGATATGACTTATCGGCATACAACAAATACATTCACGCACATATTCAATACGGATGAAACTTTGTTGCATATGGCAGGAGATTTTAGTCCCTTTAATTTAATATAACGCTTTTCACTGTTAGTATATAATCAAATCAGGGCGTAATGTAAGAAAGTCCAAGGAATTACAGGACACAGACTGTCTATATTCGTTAAAGCAGATAGGATAAACGATTAGATTTTTATTCTTGAGTGATGTGATAATGATTTTAGCAAATTTCTTTACATTATTTACGCTTGTTTGTCACCACATTGGGACAATGTTGATGAGGAATTGCTGTGCAAATAAATAAATTCATATATAACCCAACATGTAATCCTTATGGATAAGAAATAAATATTCACAGCTGTACCACTCAAAAATTACGCGATTGACGGTTGTATTATTATATTTTCCCATGTGAAGAATAACAATACGTTTTCCCACCATTCCAACGCCACTGTGAAATTCCTCTCAATTCACTGCAGTAATGTAATATTCTACCTGGCATTGTAATAAATCGTGACCAGATTTACAGGCATCTACCTGTGGTACATTTTGGTCCTGAATATCCGTTCTTGCAGGTACAGTAGTATGGGCTGCCTGTTGTTGTGCAGTCGCCGTTAGTTCCACACTGGTTTCCGGCAGCAGTGCACATTGGGGCTGTAAAAAAAAACATAATTGCTGTGCATCGAAACCCATAGAAATTATGCACGTATTGTCAAATGCTGCACTGTGCACGTGAAGCAACCACTTTCATTTACTCACAATGCGATATGATTTATCGTCATACAACAAAGACATTCATGCACATAATCAATACGGGTGAAGCATTTTTGCATGTGACAGGAGATTTTAGTTCCTTTCATTTAATTATAACGCTTTTCACGTTCAGTATATAATTGATTCAGGGCATAATAACACAGACTGTCTATATTGGTTAAGCAGATAGGATAAACGATTAGATTTTAATTCTTGAGTGATGTGATAATGATGTTTATTACTTGCCCGTGAAGAGATCACCCGTTTAATAAACATATAGCTTTATTACACATTGTGTAATACCAAAACGCGTGCTTATGTACTCTCGGAACACGTTTCACGAACAAATATTGAAAGCTCTCAACATCTCTTGGCTTATTCAACGACATTGCGTGTGGAGTTGATAGATCACTGAGAGGAGCTTATGCACACTCGATGACCCCAGCAACCTTGTTGCTAGGCTGACGTCACATGGCATTGTTTCGCCGATGGATCTTGCATCAAAATTCCACAAATTACGTCATCGGGTATTGTGACGTTATTGAAAACTTTGAGGTGCAAGGCCCGTTCCACAAGACGATCGTATTGTAGCGCAACGACAGTCGTTGGTCTAAGTTAAAGTATTTGAGATGCGAAAGTCTTAGCCCTACGATAATTTTGTGAATTCTAAAGGTAGACCCGTTGCATGGTATGAAATTCATACGTTTCAACTTTTGACGTGTTTGAAGTATTATTCTGTTAAACTCAATTGGACTATGTCGTGGATCATGTAGGTGTCAGCCTATTCATACTCAACAGTATAATTAAAAAAACGTTATAAATTGCAAGTAATAAATAAAATACTAAACTCGCTCCCGTGTAAAACCAATTTATGAAACTCGTGAATAGTTGTGGTATCTGACTCGCTTTCGCTCGTCAGATACCACAACTATTCACTCGTTTCATAAAATTGGTATTACACGGGAGCTCGTTTAGTATTCTATATTAGCAAACTTCTTTATATTATTTACGTTTGGTTGTTACCACAATGGGACAATGTTGATGAGGAATTGCTGTGCAAATCAAAACTTTCACATAATACACAACATGTAATCCTTATGGACAAGAAATGAATAATCACACATGTACAACTCTATATCTTCACAATAGATAATTTGCATTATTCATTTTCCCATGTCGAAAAATACAATAATGTTCGCACCATTCTAACGCCACTGTGAAATTCCTCTCAATTCACAGCAGTAATGTAATATTCAACCTGTCTTTGTAATAAGATCGTGATAGAATATAGTCATCTACCTGTGGTACATGTTGGTCCTGAATATCCGTTCTTGCAGGTACAGAACCCCGTTGTGCAGTCGCCATTAGCTCCACACTGGTTTCCGGTAGCAATGCAGATTGGGGCTGTAAAAATTAACGTAATTGCTGTGCAAATCCATAGAAGTTATGCACGTGTTGTCAAAAGGTAAACACATAAACAACGTCATTCTAATATTGCACTGCACACCTGGGAACATCAACTTTAGTCCCTTTTATTCAGTTATAACGCTTTTCACTTTCAGTATATAATCAAACCAAGGCGTAATATTGCAGAAAAGCCCAAGGAGTAACAGGAGATAGACTGTCTATATTTTTTAAAGCAGATAGGATAAACGATTTGATTTTTATTCTTGAGTTATGTGATAATGATGTTAGCAAACCATTTTTATAGCATTTACGTTTGGTCGTTACAACAATGGGACAATGTTGATATTTTTCATACATAACATAACGTGTAATCTTAATGGACAAGAAATGTATAATCACAGCTGTACAACTCATAATCTACACAATGATTTGTAAAAACCAGTATTTATTTTCCCATGAGCAACATCACAATTCGTTTTCACACCATTCCAACGCCACTGTGAAATTCCTCTCAATTCACTGCAGTAATGTAATATTCTATCTGGCATTGTAATAAATTGTGACCAGATTTACAGTCATTTACCTGTGGTACATTTTGGTCCTGAATATCCGTTCTTGCAGTTACAGAGATATGGGCTGCCTGTTGTTGTGCAGTCGCCATTGGTTCCACACTGGTTTCCGGTAGCAGTGCAGATTGGGGCTGTAAAAATAAACATAATTGCTATGCATCCAAAGCCATAGAAATTATGCACGTGTTGATAAACGGTGAACACATAGCCAGTATCATTCGTAATATTGCACTGCACACCTGAAGTAGCAACTTGCATTTACTCACAATGTAATATGCTGTTTTCCTGTAACAGGGTGAACACAACAGCTGTTCACCCAAGACCATAGCAACTGTCGTCAAGGGCGAGACAGAGGATGTCAAAAGAGTTACCTTTGAGACATGAAATATATCAAACCGAACCAGTCAAAGCGACACAACTCGGAGACTAAAGACGTTTGGCTTTAATAGTGAGTGAGTACAAATTTAACATCACGTCAACAATATCTCAGCCATACAACGACGAAAACAAGCTGCACATTCATAACATAGGACACGAGTGTGTGTGAATCTATTTATTATTCAATGGCATTGTGCATTGTTAATTAACAATGTATTCAGTTAAAATCTGGCAAAGCGGGAGATTTTAATATAGAATATCTCTGCATATTAACAAAGAAAATATACATCTAACAAGGTGTAATTTGTTTGGATAAGAGAAGCACCATCGTTGTTACACAGCTCCATGCCTACTCGGTGGATGATTAATATTATTGCAACACCCATACAAAATATTCGCCTCACCCAATAGTTTTTGTCTGGTAACCTAATTTGACACCGTATACGGCAAGTAAAGACACCAAGCCTCACGCCTCGCTGGGTAGTTTTCTTCTAACCTAATATGACATTGTATACGGCAACTAAAGACACCGCGCCTCACGCCTCACGCCTCACGCCTCGCGCAGTAGTTTTCTTCTAAACTAAAATGACATCGTATACGGCAACTAAAGACACCATAACGAATATATTATGCCGAAAAGTTTACACTATCTGTATAACCCCTAAAGACCAGTACATGTTTTCGAATAACGCTTTAATGTAAACACAAACGTTAACAATGGAATGCACTAAATGTGAATGTATAAACAAGTATTATAGCTGAAATGGATAGATTTATTATTATCATAAAAATTCCCGCATGTTATCAGACATCTGCGGGCCATTATAACTTGATAGCAGCCCGCTTTTTCCTAACGACGGGCTGCTATCTATTCAATTGCGATGACGTCATTTGCGTCACATTTCTTGTTTGTGACGTCAGCCTATATTATGCTCTATGACGTTACTATTTGTAAATCAGTGACGTCCGCTGTGAGCTCTTTATCTCCATAATTTTATCATTAAAGTCACGAACTCGGTTTCGGTAAAAAGAAATGTCTTTACACAGCACAATTTATGATATTAAAACACAAAACAGTGTTGAATAACAAATTTCGGTACCAGAACTTTCATGCGAAATATGTGAGGTGGGTGTTGGAAAATCCAAAATGGCTGTTACTGACAGTATACGGTCTCACATTACGTCAGTAACACCATATCCGGAAACATATGGGGTTAGTAGTTTTGCTGTCTGATTCGTCAATCTCACTTTGAGGCATAATAAAATTCTTCATCACGCCATTCCAACGCCACTGTGATACAATACTAGTATATTTCACTGCATACATGAACCAACAATTTAATTTGATCCGATCGACATGAGATTTAATATCATCTACATGTGGTACACGTTAGCCCTGAATATTCATTCTTGCAGGTACAGTCGTAAGGCCTGGATGTTGTGCAATCGACATTTAGCTCATTTGGATATTCAAGATTTTATACCTCAGCGATATGGCGATAAAACTAAGTTACACTTTCATATCATAGTACAAAGCACAGAATACAGGTTCACATGGTTTCATCACTTATGATGTCTTACCAACTTGTATTGAACGCAAGACACGTAACATATACGATTTTGTGTGATTCTGACCAAAAATGAATGTGTCATCATACCCATGTCATAGTGTAACCTACAGCTCTTAAAAATACAATGACGTGATGAAGCGGTCTTGAAAGCGACCTTCAAGGGTACGTACTTGCTATGATTTCAAATGTTGGGTAATGACTTTAAACAAATTCGGATAAATAAATGAGAAACTCCGCCAACTCGAACTCAATTAACTAGGTATGTCGTTCAAGACAAGTAAATGTTATGGTTTTAAATGTATGTAGCATCTATAACTGCGGGAAGTTCTGATATATTTCCTATTTGTGTTTCGAACTACAGGTAGCTTGACATATATTCGTGGCCTCTTGAGTTTGAGGTAACGAGGTGTCATTGTATTGCCTTTGTTTCTAAGATTTGATAACGCTGCTTGTGTGTTTTGTAACGATCATCATGCTAATCACTTACGGATAGTACAGTCATAACCATCGTAGCCATCCGTGCACGAACACTCAGCTGAACAAGGGGTGGGGCACGTGCCGTGTCCGTTACAGCTATTGTCGTTGACACAGACATTTAACGCACCATGGGATAAGACTATGCACAACACAATACCTGGAAATGAAGAATGAAGATCATTACTAAAACACAGCACACCTGTTCAACCATCTACAAAATGTGGGAACTTATAAACAAGGGTCACAAAGCTGAAAACACACAAACCGTAATATGTTCATACCACAGTATGTGTCTTGCTGTAATGTTTTGTGAAGCGGTATTACGCTATGGACGTTTGGAGTAAAATATACCAAGAGAACCAAAAGGGATGACTTGAGTATTAACTGGGAACAGTTCATTTTGTGAACAAATGGCCAGACAAAGTATGACAGATGAGGAACAATAAGCATGGTTAGGTCAGAGAAACCTCTACAACAGGTTGACTGTGACCACAACAAATCAATTAGGGTTATTTCAAGGTTATGGAATAACAGCAAGAGTTCATTTAGTTAAGTTTTGAAAATAAATTCATCGTAAATAAAGGAGTTGCCAATCTCGGATGTCAGCACTCATATAGTGAGTGAGTGAGTTGGGTTTAACGCCGCTTTTAACAGTACATGTATTCCAGTTATATCACGGCGTGTTGGCTTAATGTGGACCAAGTGATGCAGGTCCCAGACGTTTACCACTTCGGTGAAACCCACGAGCACGGGTATGGTGCTGACAAACATAGAAACATAATCGGGGCGAACCGAGATTCGAACCCACAATCATAGGTTTTTGGCTTGCCCAATGGACGCAACTCTGCCCAGCGAATCACGGCGCCTTAGACGACTGGGCAACCCGTGCCCCCGCACTCATATAGACGAGATATAGGTCTATAAAGTCTTGATCATTGGTAGACTATCGATATCATTTAACACTTTCTGACATATTGCTTCTTCATGCAGTTTCGGTATACAAATAATTTTTCGTAAATATCAGTATCATTGACATTTTCATAAGCAATTTGATGGTGTTTGTCCTTGGATTAACATATTCATATCTGGGTAAATATTTCCCCCTCGTATTAGTATACGGTGGACAAAGACGTAAACTAACAATATCACAATAATAGGAAAATAATTATAATACTTTCTACATTATTTTTTATAAAACTAACAGTTTCTATATAAAAATGAAATTCAATCGTAATTTGCTAATATATGTTCAGGTATGTTTAGATACAATCAGTATCAGATTGAGCAAATGATTTGTTCATTCTTTTGGAAAAAACATCTTTTAGCCTTTGTTTAACAGAATCTTGGCATTCTTCTAGCTAGTCTTTTACGTTTGAATCGGCTCTTTGAGCAGAAACGAAATGAAAAAGAAGAAGAAATAATTGGTTAATTGGAAAATATCTTGTCTTGTCTTGTCTTGTCTTGTACATTCATCACTAATCATACACGTTACATACATGTTCGGTATGAGCACCAGGATGCCAATTTCTTTAATTGAAGAAAATCTTACCTGTACCAGCGAGCATTGGATGAAAACGAGACATGTTGATTTCTACCGTTCTGAAATCAACGCGCAGCTATACGAACTCAACAACAATGTCATCTGTTATATATCAGCTGTTACCATAGCGTCGACACGACTGACGGCATGGATCTCGTCATTTGGGGATTGGGCCGGTCCAATCAGCTCGAAGTGGGTGTTTGGCAACAACACTATTTAGCGGAAAGTCAATTGACAGGGAAATAACTTAACCGAAGAGGACGAGTACACATCCTCAGAGGAAATAAACGATCTAACCTTATCAGCCCCCAAAACCAAAAGCTATAGAAAAAAACTCACCCAAAACGTAGCAAGCAAAAAACTAAACAACTTAGTCCTCCTACTAGCTTACATGATAAAGCAATCTAATCCAGAAGCCAGCTCCAAAGCCTTCTTGTCTTGTCTTGTCTTGTCTTGTCTTGTCTTGTACATTCATCACTTATTATACACGTTACATACATGTTCGGTATGAGCACCAGGATGCCAATTTGTTTAATTGAAGAAAATCTTACCTGTACCAGCGAGCATTGGATGAAAACGAGGCATGTTGATTTCTACCGTGCTGAAGTGGGTGTTTGGCAACAACACTATTTAGCGGAAAGTCAATTGACAGGGAAATAACTTAACCGAAGAGGACGAGTACACATCCTCAGAGGAAATAAACGATCTAACCTTATCAGCCCCCAAAACCAAAAGCTATAGAAAAAAACTCACCCAAAACGTAGCAAGCAAAAAACTAAACAACTTAGTCCTCCTTCTAGCTCACATGTTAAAGCAGTCTAATCCAGAAGCCAGCTCCAAAGCCTTCTTTGGGGTAGCACATAAACTAAAACTCGTCGCCACCCCTTTCGACGGTTTCAGCAGCAACCTTAATGACCTACTACAGTAAATACCTAAACCAAACATAAACATAACATAAATCCACCCAGTTTCCCAATGGAAGGCCTCGCCGGCCATGGTTCTGAACTTAAAGCTAAATTCAAAATAGATAAAGGCCCCCATGTAGCTTGTATTCAAGAAACCAAATTCTCACATAAAACTAAATTCAACCTACCAAATTATAACGCAGTAAGAACCAACAGGTCCAAAACCATCCCAGGCAGAACAGGGGGAGGTCTAATCATCTACGTTAGAGAGGATATCAACTACGAGGAAGTTAAAGTAAACACTCCTAATCTAGAAGCTAATGGAATCCAAGTCACCATCAATAACAAAAAAAAAAAATCATTAACATCTATCACTCAACACTGAAACCAATTAAAGATACAGACCTAGACATCCTTTACCAATTAGGAAATAAATCAACCATCTTCCTATGAGACTTCAATGCCCATCATCCTACCTGGGGCATTGCAGATAAACTAGACAACCATGGACAACCAACTAATATCAGAGTGGATCGGGAAAAAATGACCATACGCTATCGGACCAGTGTCCCCTAGAAAATGGCACTCCCCAGGGCAGCGTCCTCAGCCCAACCCTCTTCAATATAATGATAAATGATCTATTCGAGGGCTTATCCCTAAACTAAGCACTTCAAAATTCGCGGATGACGGAGCCCTATGGATCCGCACTAAAAGCATTAAAATGGCAGAAAACTTAATCCAAAAATCTCTAAATAAAATACAGCAATGGGCTGACAAATGGGGCTTCTCCCTTAACTCAGAAAAAAACGGGAGTAGTCTTCAAACATAAAAACATGAAACCTGCCTACCCAATCCTCCAGCTAAACAACCAAACAATCAAATTCCAAAAACAAACCAAATTCTTAGGACTCATTTTCGATCAACACCTCACCTGGGAGGCTCACGTCCAAAACCTAAAAACTTGATGCAGCAAAGACCTTAACACACTAAGATTTCTCACCGGCTCTAACTGGGGAGCCTCCAAAGATACCCTCCTCTCAATCTATACAGCACTAATTAGATCAAAACTAGACTACGGCTGCGCCATATACAATACCCTAAACAACTCTCTATCTAAAAAACTTGACTCAATACAATACCAAGCCTTTAAACTAATTACACGCACCCAACAGGGGAAATGCCACTAAATCTACGCAGGGAACATCTAAGCCTTAATTTCTGGGCCGCGTCCCAAACAAACCCTCTCATCCAAAACTTATTTAACCAAAACATTAGCCCAAGAAACCAAACTCTATCTCGCAAACACCCCTTACTCACCCCAATATCCCAAAGAATAACTAACTACCTCAATGAACACCAAACTCAAAATCTTAAACAAAACTGCAAAAAATCAAATATCTTCACCCCTAAACATATTGTACATAAAACACATTTTAAACAAAAGCAAGTTGCCATTAAAAGTACAATATCCAGTCTCTAGGGCTTATGAGACACTCTAAAAGCATTTAAAACATATAACATTCTTAAATATAAAACACAAAATAAAATATTATATACAATGTTAAGACTAGAAGAGATGCACTCTCCTTCTATACATGCTGTATAATGTGATTGCTAAAAGCGGCTGTAAAATTACTTCTTGCATCAAATAAGATAATTGCTGAATGCTATTAAAATAATAAAAGTCCTGATTTAATTCAGCTGCCTTGTGTAGTAGTTGATATCTCAGGTCACTGTATACAAAACAATCTATTAAAAAGTGTGATTCGTCCTCAATAACATAATTATTTTTTTCTGCACAAAATTTACATATTCTATCATTTAAAGGAATAGGTGGCTTGGAATAGCGGCCTGTTTCGACTAATAGAGGGAGGTTACCACACCTAAACTTAGATAAAACACTTCGATAATCCCTTCGCTTCACACATTTCACATAGTGGCACACATTCACATCAAATTTGAAAAGTCTGAAAGTCCTTAGCTTGTTACCATTTGGTTTGTTCTCATCATCCCACACTTGTTTACACCATGATTCACAATCTTTCTCTTTCAAGATATCCTTCAGTAAGTTCACTTTTTTCTTGTTATTGTCACTGTCACTGATAATCCCATCCACATTTAAGTCTCGTACCAGCATTTCAGTTCTTTTATCAAGAGATTTACTTTGATACATTGCCCACCTATGAATAATATTTGGAATTCTGCTATCTGGCATTGATTCACATCTGAAGAATTGTCTAAATAATTCTATCTTTTGATCCACATCACTTGATGACCATCCCATATCGCTGCGAATCGCCAAGTTGGATGCATTTTGACCGGTTCCTAGACAAAATCTACAAGCTTTGTTTTGGATGACTTGCACCTCCCTGTATTTGTTAATCCCCCATATACCAGCTCCATAGAACAAAACAGGCTTGATAAGGGTATTGTACAACTTGGTATACACTTCATAGGACATCCCACCACAACTTCTAAATTTAGTGTACAATGCAGATAGTGCTCTACTGGCAGATTTACAAAGTTCTTTTACAGTCTTATGCATGTCCATATGTTGATTCAACCAGATGCCCAGGTATCTATAGCTCTCTGTATATGGTACAACATTTAAGCCACATTTAAACTGGTAATCTGAAATGATTGTAGACTTGGGTCTGAAATGCACAACTTGTGTTTTCTCACAGTTTATTTCTAACCTCCACTTTCTGCACCATTCACTGAGTATACGTAGCATTGTCTGTAGAGAATCTTCATCCGGGGCGATTAATGCTAGGTCATCCGCATATAGAACAGATAACATATAGTTCTCTGTTTCAATTCCACATTGTAAACCTTTCAATTCCTCAGCAAGATCATTGATGTAAATAGAAAATAAAGTTGGGGATAATTTACAGCCTTGTTTAACACCATAATTCACATCAAATGGATCTGTATACAAGTCATTTAATTTAACTGTGCATTGCACATTGTTGTAGAGTGACTGTATGCATTGAAGAACTTTTCCTTTTATACCACACTTCATAAGCTTGAACCATAAGCATTGCCTGTCAACAGAGTCAAATGCCTTCTTTATGTCAACAAAACACACAAATGTTGACTTTTTAGTAGACTTTCTCACATTGATGATGTTGTAAGGTGCATAAACATGATCTATGCAACTGCGATTCTGTCTGAATCCATTCCGCTCTTCTACTAATGTATTATTATCTCCTAACCAGGATTGAATCCTTCTATTTAGGATGTCTGTGTATACCTTACATGGAATAGATAACAGAGTTATTCCTCTATAGCTAAGTGGGTCAAGTGGATCACTATTTGACTTTGGAATAGGATTTATGATTACTTTATTCCATTCATTAGGTGCAACTGAATTCTCAAAACAAAAGTGTATTAATTTGTGGAGAAGCTTAATACAGTGATTATTTTGTAGGACTTCAGCAGGAATATTATCCAAACCAATAGCTTTACCTTTCTTGAGATGATTAACAGCTATCTCAACCTCACTGAATGAAATAGGTTCATCTAAACTTGAGATATCTCTGTCTTCTTCTGTTTTCTTCAATTGAGCTAATTCTTCTATTATATTTTGATAAAATTCACCATCAAACAGTTTACTGCTCTTTTCTCCATTAGCAGAAAACAATGAATGATATGAGTCTCTACAGTGTTGTGATACAGTGTCTGCATCTTATATACACGGACGGATCTTCAGACCTGATCTCCAACCACACAGGCTTCGGAGTCCATACCACACAACCAGTTATATCCACACAATCTTACCGACTACCTAACAACCAATCAATATTCACGGCCGAACTTATGGGCATAACCAACAATCTAAAAACAAACAAAAAATCCTAATTCTCACCGACTCCCTTAGTGGACTACAAGCCGTCCAAAACAAAAATACCCAAAACCGACCTACATTAATAAACCAAATACTTAAAAGCTCCAACGACCTAACAAAAGCAGGCAAACAAATAACCTTCTTGTGGATCCCCGCCCACGTAGGAATTTACGGCAACGAAAGCGCCGATGAAGCAGCCAAATTATCTCTAAAAAAAACAGAAATAAGCCTAAACCTACCCTCAAAATCAGAAACTAAATGTGTAAACAAACAAAAAATAAACAAAAAATGGCATAATCAATATCAAACCTCAAATAGCCAAATAAAAAAAGTGCTCAGAAAACCACTAGCCAAACCTAAAATCCTACACCCCTCTAAAAAAATTGACAGATTAATTACAAAACTCCAAACA